AATTTTACCATTTTTGAAACAACTTGTTGTTGTTACATGTAATACTCTGATTCTTTGTAAGTCGGGCGCTGCTGTAAATATTAAAGTGGTTTTTTAAAGTATCATTTTGGTGCCGCTCGAGATTGTACTAGCGTGGGGCTTTCCATTTAACCAAAAATTCCAAAAATTTGAAACGGAGACAAATTGTACAGAAATTTCCCGGGAAAATTCCCAGAAAATCCGGAATTGTTGAATTTCCGAAAAGCGAACCATTCAACCGAAAATAGGAAAATGGAATAGAACAGAAATTCCCGAAAATTTGGGTACACCTCGCGAGGTTGTCCTCTTTTCTTGTAATTCAGAAAACGTTGTTCCATTCGTCAGCGGAAATTTCTGGAAATTCAAACCAAATCTTCATCGATTGGAAAGCGCTCGTGATCAGGTGATTGTTTCCAACGCGACCCTTTATTGCATAATCATCACGTCACCCTCTGTGGTGTGGTTGGTGGTCTTTGGCCAAAGTGTAGATTCAGTACGACTAACAATTAACGCATTTTTGCTTTCTATTTTATTGCAAATCTTCAAGATTTCTAAATTGTTTACTGAAATAGTTATGAACTTTCAAGTTCTAGATAATTTTTACAACAATTTCATTGCCACAAACATGATACAACATGTAATATACATAGCCATACATGAGTGCACAACTGCATTAATTTTATGTACTATTAAATAATGTATGTGCAGTGAGTGGTGCAGAGATAACATTTACCCAGTCTGTAATTAAAAAAATTCCTTCTGGAATAAAAAATATAAGAAACTTTGCTGACAATACTTGCCTTATTTTCAGATTAGTTCTTGCTCGATTGCTACAATATATCAACTCAGAATATTGAAAGAACATTACATGATTAACTACCCCAAGAAATTTGAGCTCAGCTAGTGTATTAAACAGTTTTGGTGTGACACAGAACTTGAGTTGCCATTAAGATTTAAGTATGGGCACTTTTGCCGCCCAGAAAGTTTGCAGTTTGTTTTTGCGTTGTATTCTTTCCTTCAATACTGTACTCAAAGCATGAAAACTTTTCACAAATTACTGAGTTGTTAAAGCCAATTCGTATCTAGCCTGCATTGCAGCCAGACATCAAACCCTCTCTACTGTGTGTGATGGGGGGTATTCATACTTAGCACGATGCCAGCTTCCCTATATATTGTTGTATGCTAATGAGACAAAATATAAACAAAGACATCAGATTCCCCCCATATCATTTAAAAAGCAGTCAAAAGTGTAGAAAAGCAACATATTTTGACTATTAAAACTGCGAAGTTCTCTTATTCTCATCTTCCTGGATTTTCAATTCTAGATTGAGAAAAAATTTACTTGTTTCTGGATACTGCATACCTTTCAGATGAGGCAGCAGATTTGACTCCCTCATACCTATACCAGACTGCCGCTATCTTCTAAGCTGGAACTTGTTCATAAGACTCACTGATATCTGCAGCGAGTAACTTTTACCATAACAATTCTGCAAATAATAGCTGATTTTGTCCTGTTCTTAGCATTTCCAGTATTCTTTACTTGCAAATAGAGAGCATAAACTGTTATTATTGAAAAGAAAGTTTACATTTGGTGCTGATTTGACATCTGCAAATCTCATTTATGTTTATTATTGAGTTAAGAATAAAAACACTGGGCATTTGCAGCAGCTATAAATTTATGGTAATGCTGTTTATGTGCATGTAGTTATATGCATCCTATTCAGATGTTATTAGTTTATTTAATTACACCCTACTGGGATTTTGTTCATCAGGTTCAACAGCCAAATTGTCAATGCTCTTAGAGCGTGGCCCTCGAGGAGGTGGCTGCTTGGGTGGATCACTCTGCTTGTTGGCTGAAATATCAGGCTTCTCATCAGCTAGACACGGTTTCCATGTCTCTCCTGAAATGGCAGCTCGCAGATAAATCAAACTTGTGAACACCAGACTCGCTCCTCCAAGTATTGTTGACAAAAAGAAGAAAGAGGGAACAGCGGCACTGCAAGATTCAAGATAGCATTGCATTGTCAAGATATTGCATGGGAAGATCTCACTGGATATGGTTGTACTTAACCCTTGTGCATACAAAAGGGCCCCCAAGAGGTGTCTTAAGAATTCGAAAAGAGGATACTGAAACTTAGGGTGTGCATTTCTTTAAGAAAATCCAAGATTGGATTCTTAACCCGAAAATGGATTTTGCGTTTCTTTACTAAACAGATCAATCCAAGATCACGCGGATCATGGTGCATCAGAGGAACCTAAGAATCCTTGCTCAGAGTGGATTCTTCGGTTCCTTTGATCCACCATGATCCAAGAGATCATTATTTATTTATTCATTTATTTATTTTAGCATATCTTAAAACACAATTTTATTTCGTTTACATATAGATATAAATTCTTAGATATCTTTTAATCTTTTTACAATTGTAAATTTAGTTAGCATCGGGCAGGCGAAGAGCCACCCTGTGGATATACTGCCCGAAATGCCATTATTATTATTATTATTATTATTATCTCTGATTGATCTGTTTAGGAAAGAAACGTAAAATCCGTTTTCACATTTAAGAATCCAAAAGAAACACACCCTAAATTGCAGTAGCTGTGCATCTATCCCTTGCCAAACATTTGATCTGTCAACTGTTTTCCCGCATCAATTGACATTTATTACCATGGCGACCATGTTTTCACATGCCTGTCAAGCCAAAGCATGTATTTTTGTCAGAGTTTGTCTGTCCACTTTTCTGTCACAGAATTGCAGAGTTAGTTTAATGCTGCATTAATCATTCTGGATTCATTTTCCTCACCATCGATTTACCCTATTTTCTGACTTACTGAGGAAAAAGGTGAAAGTCAAGATGGTAGATCTAAGATCTGATGGCAAGCTTAAATATGATGTCACATGATGTCCTGACCAACAAAACATAATTTCATTTTGTAAAGCAAGTCAAGGGCTATCGATTAAAAACAAAACCAATGGAAGGAGCTCCATCCACTCCTCCCATCCCCATGTACCACGGTGGGGGTATGAGCTTGCATGTACATCCTGTACTTGACCAAACTTCGGTTGACTTTGAAATGGCCTCCGTGCACAGATGCAGTAGATATGAGCTTAGTACATTGGTATCTCAATTCAATACTTGTGTATTTTGTAACTTACAGAATGTAAAAGACAAATCGAAACCAGTAGTTCCTTCCAAGGACTCCAAAGAGCTTGACAAACTGTGTAAAAGGTTTCTGATTCCTAAAAAAATATACAATTACTTGTTAATTAATGTTTAGTTATGAATGTTATGAAGTGCCAACTAATGTTTAGTACTTAGTGCACTACCATTACAGAATATCACCTTATCTCAGTTTCCTTACTTAGAGTAAACAAAACACCCACAAAATCACCAGTAAAAATTATCTCAGAACAAATTTATTTC